ACAATTAATTGTAGATGTGCAAGAAGAAATCAAAAGGTTTAAAGAAACCAATGGAATAGTTCCCAAAAATAGAAAAGAGAAACAAAAAGAAATCCAAACAACTACATCAGACACTCCTAGAATGGGAAGATTTGTAAAAGAAAATCTTACACAATTAGAAAGAGTATTACAAGAAGAAAAGAAAAACAATAGCAAAGAAATTGAAAAAGGCTTAAAGCAATTGAGATATAGACTTCAAACCATTAAAGATAATTACAAATATGTATCAAACTTACCAGATGAAGAATTAGAAAGTCATCTAGGAACAGTAGAAAAAACTGCAAAAATAAATATTAATGATAAAGAAGAGGATAGAAAGAAAGCCTTATACAATGTAATATGAGCATTAACAGAGTCAGGAGATCAACAAGTGTGGAAAAATAAAGATGTGATTAAACAAATAGAAGAAGAATATCAATTTAATAAATATACATTATTAAATATGATAAAAGAGGAGTTCAATCAAATGCCACAATGGGAACAACAAATAACAATGAGAAACTTCTTGATAGGATCAGAATTCTTAAGTGAAAAAGTAAGAAAACAATTTCAGGACAAGTACAAAGAACTACTAGCATCATCATTAGAAAATCAAGGAAAAATGCATGATGATGATGAAGTAGAAAAAAGATTTGTGAAAGATCAAAAAATAATAAGAGGAAAACCACAACCTGAACCGTTTCTACCAGAAGGTGTTACTCATAATAGGTATATACCAAAAGAAAATATCTATAGAGAAAGACTTGCATCTCCAACTTCTAGTGAAGAAGACTTTAATCTCAAAAGTAGAAACTTAGGAGAATGGCTAAGGAGTCAAGCAAAAGAACCACCTAGACCAAGCTCTTCAATAAAAGACTTTGTAAATAAAAATATTGTAGATCCAATATTCAGAAGAACAAATGGGAGAAACAGTAGTACATCAAGTCTACCAAAAATACCTTCAAGTTTAAAGAATGAAATAAATTTAAACAATGATGAAGAAGAATTTAAACTTCAGAAACCACCTGTAAGATATAAAAGGACAAGAACAGTTGTATCAACTGATACGAATTTATCATCCACAAATGGAGATAAATAGAAAAAAGAAAGAGATATTAGAAGAAAACTCTTTTAAGAAAGTAGAAAAGAAGAAATAACATCTGAAGATGAAAAAAAAATGAATGAATTAGATAACATCATAGAAGATGATGTAAATAATTATTATGAAAATAGATATAATAATCAAGAAGAAATGGGTGAATCCTCAAAACCAATAAGATATGAGGATGAAGACACTAGAATATTAGAAATACCATGGAATAGACAAGCAGCACAATACTCTGTAGCCAGAAATAGTAATTTAACAGATGAACAGTGGCAAAAAGCTTATGCCTACACTCCACCAGAAGTGGCATGGCAAAAATATGAAAGTATTCAACATGAATATGAAAGTGAAAAAGAAGAAGAAACAAATAAAGGGTATGAAATAGTAGAAACAGACGAATAAAATGATAGTCTGTATGGACATTTCAAGGAAATGCCAATGGAAATACAACATATAATCTTACCAACTATAATAGAAGGAAAACAGGTAGATTATAAGGTATTCTGTAATGAGAATACAGAGATACCTCCTATGAATATAGGACATATCAGAATAGAAAACCCTGTAGAAAATGGGTATATAGGTACCCCTGTAGAACTTGCTAAAAAAGGAATAATCGTCCAACCTGGAATAGCAAATGATAATCACATAACAATAATGAATATATCGAGTAGAAATGTGAAATTTAACAAAGGACAACATATTGGAAATGTTGAGAAAATACAGAAAAATGATGAAATTTTTCTCACAAAATTACCTGATCTGAAAGATCAGAGTGAAAAAGAAAAAGAACGAATCTTGATTCTAAAGAATCAATGTAAAAAGACTAGAGGCCCTGGAACATGGAAACAAATTGGTCATATTCTTACAGAATATGTTGATGTTTTTAGAGAAAAACAAGAATATGCAACTAGAGTTAATACTGATGAAATACCTCTGATAGAATTAAACCTAAAAAATGGAATGAAAGAAAATGAAATACCAATACGAGAAAAGAGGCAAGCATTAAGGAAATATAGTGAAAAAGATAAAAAGGTTATCAAAGAAATGCGAGATGATCTGATGAAAAACAATATTATATTCAGTGGAAATACTGAATGGAGAAGCTCTGCACTAGTAATAACTAAAAAAGATGGAACAAAAAAGATTGCAATAGATTATAGAAATCTGAATAAGTACTTAGAAAAATATAGAGAACCATTACCTGATTCAAAGCAAATGTTACAAACTGTTAGTAGATATAAATACTATATAACAATGGATATAAAATCAGCATATTGGCAATTAGTGATGCATGAAAACTCGAAGAAATATACAGCAACAACCTTCGCAGAGTATGGAACATACTGTTGGTATACATTACCATTTGGAATTAGCATAGCACCAGCATACTTGATACGAGCAATGAACAAAATATTAGGACACTTAGACTATGTAGTAATCTACATGGATGACT